AAAAAAACAAGACATTTTAAACAGGGTGAAGAGATTTTCAAACTCACTTTGCGTGCAAACCGCCGGTCCCCCTCTGTGGGAATCCTTTCAACTGATGTTGAGGTCTGACCAGTGTAGGCTGGAGATGCTGAGGAACATCCAGTTTGAACATTTTCAGCTCTACCACTCCACTGGTTCACAAGGGTGTGAGGCAATTTTGAATTATGAGAGCTCCCATTGGCCAAGGAACATGGCTTTGGACCAGGCACAACTCCTGCGGCCTCACTCTCAGAGGAGAAGACCTCCGATTCATCCTCCGTCTGGTCACTCTCGCTGTAGAGGAGACTGGGGGTCAAGGAGAGGGAATCTCGCACTTGCCATTTGGAAGGACTCCCCGGTGACAGCATCACTGAAACGTGAGAAAACAGATAAATGTGAGGTGGTAGATTGTTTAAAGCTGAGGAGCGATGGGCTGAAATGAACTGAACTGATCGTAGCGAGTGATTTCTCTTAAGGGAATGTGGCAACTGAAAAGTATGAAGATGAAGAACATGAAATACATCTGAGAGAATGTAAACAATAAAGTGCAACAATGGGGGAAGGAACCAGTTGACGGAACGGTCACTGGGATCGTCTTGCAAATCCTTGTTAAAATTACAAGAATGACTTGGAAGTCATTCTTGCTATTTTAACAGCTACAATAGTTTAAAAATTAAAAACAAGTCATGTTTTTTCACTGTATGCTATTATTTTTCAGCAAAAGAGTGCGTTTGAATTACAGCTTTTTTCACAATAAATAAAACTTATTTGTTGAAAATCATTTATTTTTTGGTAAAGAAAATTAAACATTAAATTCATAAATAAACATCCATTGAAAAGAAGTCTCTTAGGCACACAAAGGGTGCATTACAGAACACATACAAAACTACAGTTAAAACTGTAATACGGTGAAATATTATTATAATTTAAAAACCTTTCTATTTGAATTTTTATTTTATATAATTTATTTCTGTGATGGCAAAGCTGAAATTTCAGCAGCCATTACTCCAGTCT